GCAGGGGTGGTCTATTCTATGCCGGGACCACACAAACAACTTTACCTACTTATGAGGGGGGAAATAAGATTATTAGTAATGAGAACTAGCAATCCCATTATTTGCAATAAGGGTATACTATATTATAAAGTCAATCTCCACACGGTTTCCCCTGAAAACCATCGTGGTGAATTCAAAGCGAGATTACCACTCCATTATTTTTATTTACTCCATTATTAAAAAAACCTTATTTAAGACGATAAAGACTTCATTTGCCTTTTTCAAATTTGTTCTAAAATAACGCTTCCGGGGTTCGTAACTTGTAATTAAAATATTAATAAGCAACAGTAAAATATATACATCCGCGTGGAACATGATAATCCAAGTTATTATTATATGAGTTAATTAGAAAAAACGTCATAAATCATTCGATCCGCGGCTCTGAGCCATGTAAAGGCCGAGGCTTTCGAGCAATACAATAGTTTTACCTGCGTCCTTGTCTAATGCCAAATTTTAGTACAGGTTAAAAAGAGAAAACGTGAAGTTGCTAGCGTATTTACGAAAAACGAGGCCATAATTTGCCTGCACGAAAATTTGATAATAAATCATAATAGTTTTAGTCTGAGTAGAAGTAAAAAAAAATAAACCAATTTGGAAAGTGAATTGTAAGGCACGGCGGGCACCGCAGCTCGCTCTGTTATTAGAGCAATTATGTTATTATGTTCGCCGTATCTAATCCGAAAAACTAAATTGGAGTCGGCCGCTGCCGGCGAATGCCCGATAGGTTCAATCATTTCGACTTTTGGGTCGCACGAAATTCGTTGCGGAAGCAATAAGAAACACGAAAATTCCGAACGAAATAGTCACAAATTATCCAATAATATATAGCTATATGCAAGCGAAATACGGATCAATAAAAAAGGGATCCGGTAACACAATTTCTGGGGCGCCATTTGCTACGGTCCATAGTTTGGTACAAATTAAAAAGGGCGCTCACTTGCATTACATATTTCAAACTTCACATTTCATAAACAACCCCGGTTTGCCCTTTGATATCCCTCACTTAACTCATATTTCATTCAATATGACCATAATTGAAGTGATGGGTGCCACTTTATTACAATAAAGTACCTATCGTTATAGTAAAAGGGTTCATATCTGTTTGTAGATATTGTGAATAAGAAGCATTGCATGAACGATTGCCTCTTTCACAATTTGTATCTTTAGCATACTCCTCAGAACAGGTTTTCCCTGTGTACGAAATCAACGTAACGTCCCGTGTTTTCGTTCCAAAACGCGTCGCGTCCCTTTGTATTATCAAAATATCAAATATGAATACCAAATAAGGGTTGGGACAAAAGAAAAACTGACAACTTTTTAATTTATGCATAAACGAGTACATGAAAACGTAATAATAGGAGCGTGTTTGGTAAATATATTAAAGTAATAATTCTGTGTGGGGCGTTTCAAAAGTTGTCTGGTTGTATTTTTCTAAAATTTCACGGTAGATATATCATCGTGGCTCGTGGAAAATTGTTACGTCTTCATTATGGACGTGGAGTGGTACTTTGCTTTGTAAACATTCATGGTCGTTGTTGGTTTTCTCAATTTGTTTGACAATGGCCGTGCTCTGAAAGCTAATGAAGTCACTTCGGATGTACATCTGTCTGTAGCTTGTATGTACAATTTTGATTTAATAATTAAGTTACATTTTCTGATGTATATTTTGATATAAACTGTAATTAAATTAAGGTAAAAAGTATAATATGTATTAATCTAGTATTATAATGTATCATATTCGAAATTTCATATAAATAAATTCAGTCATTGTAATATAATTAATTTACAATGATCCAACCGGGTTGTTTGATTAGATTTATTTTGTTTCATTCCGCTACCATTAATATATGTACCGACACGCTATTACTATAACCAGAAGTTCTACAACGTTCCTTATTAGCCATTAATCTCCGACTGCCATTTCGTTCATACATGTTTTGCGACACACCTCTAAACAAGGCATCTTCAGCCAAACATCTGTACAAAGTTCTTTACAAACTTTCACGTTTGTAATAATTAAGTAGAATAACTAGGTTAATGTCTACTTTCGATAAAAGTTGTTGACCTCTTTATTTATCACGTTTCGACTAATCATTATATTGTTTTTAAATACTATACATGTCTCGTTGATATCAAAGACAATAAATTATTTTTAATTAATTATTCTATTCAACTTTTGTTTATAAAAATATGTTGATTGTGTTTACCTATTTCAACAATTTATCTTTTTATTGTATGTTTCGGCGATGACAATTCTGCGTGATTTGTATTTTTAATGATTTATGTCTATCTATATCTATGAATGTGTCAAAAGTTCACAGTCTGATTGAATATTAATTATACACATGAAATATATTTTATTTTTGTATACAAAAATTTTATTTAAGTGTTCACTCCCGTAGTGCAGCTGATCCGACAAAAGTTGTCTTGTTCAAATAAGGTACAATACTTTTCTTTCTAAAGCAAAATCTAGACTAATTGTAAAAAACGATACGAATATAAATACGAAATAAGAAACGATAAATCGATCCGTAGCTTCTCAACTATTTATATATATTTTACATATTATATATAAGATTACTTATGTTAAAATATTCAATACGATATCTTAATATTATACATAATTAGTTATTTTATTAAAATCGACACATAATAAGTTTCAAAGGATTACAAGATAAATGGCAAATTAAAATAATTTATACAGATTTGACTGTTTTGAATTTATACAGTCAAATACAAGTGCACATCATTAATTAAGAATATCTAACTTTGCAGAAAGTCTATATGCACATTTTGCAAAGAATTAAAAAAAAAAAGAAATAATCTGCAAGAATTTAGTATGTTACATATTTACAGTATGTAAAAATAACAATTCTATGTTAGGGATCACTGTACCATAGACCTTAGAAAAAATATATCATGTACGGGCTGTAGATAGATGAACTTGACCAGCCTCAGTAGAATCCTCAATGTAGTTGCACTGACCCACTTATCAGCTACTGTACTGACGACCTCACATTTCATATCAACTAATAAACCAGATAGCGCAAGCCACAGGTCAAAGATATAAGACCAACGACTTTTTGAAAATATTTTCCTGAGATACATAATAAATATTTAATGAATAGCACTATTATTCACTTTTTAGTATCAGTGAAAGAAAATATGGCAAATCTATAGTGAATCGATTATTGTGTGACTTGTGAATGTAGATTACAGTTTTTCTTTGTTTTTATAAAAATATTGATTTATCTTTTGTATCAAATATTAATGATGAGAGATCATTTTTATAATACAATACAAGCTTTTAAAAATATATATATCAAATACGAGATTACCCGCAGAATAAGAACGCCACGTAAAGATACTGCGTTGTGTCGTTCTAAAAATCCTTACTTATAGTAGGTATAACTGTGAAAGGGAGTTTTTTTCTTTATAGTGCCTTAACCACTTAAATAATCACGTGGGTATTCACGTATATGGGATGGACAACAAAGATATAGGCTATTTTATATCACGGTCGCGAGTACGAAGTTACGGGTAAAAGCTAGTAATAAATATTATGTTAACTAAAAATTATTTATTAGTTATAAATTGTTTGATAATCTTCAAATTAGGTCGGTTTTACATTTTACCAAATTTCATTGTATTCTTAGTATACATTTTAAGATACTTATTTTTTTGTTCCAGGTAAGTTCCCAAGACCGTCGAATCGGAAATTGGCCGGAATCTTGATTTGCGAATTGCGTTCGTGTATGTGTGCACTGATCATTTGTTTAGTCGTGTGTTCAGCACGCGAATAACAGTTCAATCTTGATTTACATAAAGTCGTATTTCAATTTGGCACGGCCCCCGTCCCGTCAGCGGCAATATGCAAGTGTGGCACTAAACGACAACCTGAATATCGAACTGTAGTTTATGTGGTCTCAAGCAGATATTTTTACGAATGCGGTTCACAATAGTTTTATGTAAATGTTTAATTAATATTTTATATAACAACTATATAATTTTATGTAATTTTTGTTGTAAGACTAATGTATCAATTTTATATCGTATCATTTTATATCAACGTTTAATAATGCCATTTTTATACAATATCGTATTATTCATTTAATAGTTTAAATAACACCGTAACGTAGCCAACACTAAAGCATTTTCATATTATTGCACGTGACTGTACATTTTGTTACTGAATTATACGGAGTAAATTTGAAGTCAAGTTAGTATGGGTAGCTAAACTTGTGATGTATTTCGATCTATGTTTCTTTCGGACAGATGTTTATTTTTACTAGCGGAACACTCTCTTAAAAGGATACCGATTGTTTTGATTTTACCTTGTATAAGTAAGTACCTAGGTACTTAAATTTTATTATTTCTGTTTTGATGTGTTTTATGCTATATTAGTGAGTATAAAACTGTACTTTTTAACAAATTGTTATTATAAACATTGACCAGTTTCGCCGTTCGAGGCATTTTCAGAAGTTTATTTACTTATTTTCTGCATGCAATCAATTGAAGTACTGAGTTGAGTACTTTAACAGTTTTTTTTTACATCGTGTTTTTAATAGCTAACAATTATGAACATACATTTTATAATTTTTACTATCTTCGTTACGTTATGTTATTTATTCGTATTTCATTAAGTTAAATGAAGTTATTCGATAGCAATCGTAGAAACAGCGACGCATCTCTTCATAACGTTTCCCGCCCATCCGTAGCGTAGCACTATATGCATTCGCACGCATTTCGCTAATCTCACATGTGATCAGCCACATAAACTCATCTATAACCAGCCATTTTGTAAAACCCATACAGTCTAAACTCCCTTTTGCAGTTAGGCATCATTTCGTCTGGCCGCGTTAAAAGCACGGTGCATGTTCGCACTCCCACCCGCCACAACACAAACGCGAAGCATGTATGAATCATGATGGTCTGCGTGTGAGGGTGCCCGTACGTTCGCGCTCCGCTGGAGTTTGTCAGTGTGTTTGTGTCTATTGCTGCACGTGCACGCTTGTATGTGTGCAAGCCCACTCATGGCAGCGGACTATGACGGTTCGTAGATTTGACAGCTAGCTCAATGCGGGTTCAGACGTTCATTATACCGCGACCGATGTAATTTTCGTGAAATATTTGTCATCGTTAATACGTGTGACAAAGACGTGATCGAAGAGTGTTGTGACGCGACATCGAAACAGTGATAGAGATAGAGGACAAATTTACCCGCGAACTTGAACTTGGTTGGCCAATTTGAAAATGTCCGAAATGTAGATTGATTTGTGACATGCCCCATCTCGAGGAGTTTTTACGATGCTTGTAATTAGATGCGGCTCGTTGGACATCATTCCGGGGAATATCAGTATGATTAAGAAATTGTTTGTGGTTTTGTGGTGTCGAATGGACATAACGAATGTAAACTCGTTATTCGTTGAATGCAAATAAACTGAATCAATTATGACAATTTAGTATAGAATATCACTATGAGGTGATAAATGTAGATAGGTATAAACAATATAAACACTTTACGTTCGTGTCAAGCAAAGTGATTCTTTATATATTTTAAAAAAGTGTTATTTATTAACAAGTGAATAATGACATGATTTAAAAGTGCAATGTTGTAAATATGGACACTGAAAATTGTAAAATTAAGTAAAATTTATTTTGGATACATTACTGGTGAGTCTTAATAATAGATACGATAATAAAGCATGAAAATTAAGTAGGTAATTAATAATCGCGATATATTTTTTTGCAATAGTATAATTTTTCAAGTTTGTATACGTAAAAGGTAATATAATATATAAATAAATAAATTTGCATACGTTACATAAACAGGAGTATATTTATCTTATATTGACAGATAACAAAAAATTAAAAAAATTTGTTTTACTAAGTAATCAAAGTAATTTGATTAATTATTTTGTAATTGAAAACAAATATTACATGTGTTTATAATTTTATTGGATATAAGTAATTTGTATATATAATTTTATATACTGTAAATTTTAATTTAGCTCTATTGCCATAGGTTACTTTTTTCTCTCTAGAGATTATAATATATATTATAGTAGAGTGCAATAGATTCAGTATACATTCTATATTTATCTTACATACCTAGTAGATATTGTAACTGTTATAATGAAAAATGCCTGTTAATATCTACACATCTACCTTGAATACTAAAAACATTGCGCTAAGAACACGCTTTATTTTTAAGTACCAACCTACCTAAATATCCGAATGGCATACAGATTTATAATTAGTTTTCTTGTTTTGAAAAATATATACCTATTATAATCAAATTCCAGTATAAATAAATAAATAAGTTGATTAAACATTAAATTACAATTCAATTAATTACTGTTATTTAATTACTGTCAGTCAATTCATTAATTTAATAAGTAAATGAGAACATTTTGATTAATTGAATTAGGTACAAATTTACTTTTTTTGTAACGACAAACAAACAACACAAAGTTATTTTGACAATAAAATCAGAAATTAAAAGTTCTGAAACGACGCTATTTATACTTACTCTATTAGTCTTACTCTAGATATATTCTACTATAGAAATAGTGATTTATAGTCAGCGATATTTTAAAAAAATAATGCAACGGAAATATAAAAATGCAAATAAAACAAAACGCAGATGTCGACAATCGATAAATATCATATTTATATATGTGTAATTTATAAAAAAAGGTGCACATGTCACTAAGATTAATAGAGACATTAACACAAATAAGCATAAATTTGATTGTTTTCTTTATATTACACCGGTCGGCTTTTTATAGGAGTCGCCGAAAAGCAGGTAACCGAAGGTTTTTGGAACATTAATCAAAATCTTGGTGTTATCCTTTTAAATGAGTCGACGAAAGAGCGAAATAGAGTTGTAGATCCGCGCGGGGGTAGTGTGGCACCGCCCTAAGAAAGGTCATTAATCTCTGTTTTTTTTTTCCTTTTCGGACAAAGGAGATCTTGTATATAGTTACGTTGTATACTATTATATGGTTGAGTTTCGTTACAGCTTTTTTGGTAATACAGTAAATAAATGTATCTATTTTAAACAGTCTTGTAACATTTGCCTTGATAATTATGGGCATGTTAATTTTATTGTTATACAAAATAAAGAACTAATTAATTTTATTATACAAATTAAATTGACTAATTCTTTATTTTGAATGCCTAAATTCTAATCTACTTTTAATTTAATTAATAAACATTCACATACATAATTATACTTACTTTAAAACAAAATAAAATCAAGCATGAAAATATCTGAATTCATAGGACATACGTCGTATTTTTAAATTTTATAGACTATATATGTATTCTATAATATCTGTGTTACACGAACTTTATCAGCCGTCATTATCATACTAATAATTGATTTAACTGAAGTAATGAAATATGGATACATTTAATATATATAAATAAAACTCAATTAATTTTAGTATAATATATTTGATTTACCTTATCATATTAAGAATAATATAATTCCTTTAATTTTATTTTTTCCTATAGATACCTCTAGATTTAAAATTTAAAAATAGTATCGGTAGGATGTACCAATGTGAAATATATTAAAATTAGTTCATTTATTTAAATAATGAATAACCTATTCACATGGTTTATATATATTTAAAATTATTTAATATTTGGTAATAAATGGAAAATATTTATTTATTCTGCTATAATATGTAATAGTAAAAAGGAGAAATCTCCCAAGGAGGGTGTGCGTCAAGCAGACGACTGGTTTTAAAATCCAAAGCCAAAACCTTGGGTAATATAAATAAAACATGTCATACCGAGCCTAAATATCTGAGATAAGGGCAAGAAGATGATGATGACGGTATAAAATAGCAGTTTACTAGAGTTACTATGACTTATAGATTAAAATTATTGAGTCCAAGTTTAGGCGGAACTAAAATTATTGTATCAAAAACTATATGAACTTTTTAATAATGAAAAATAATATTGACTATTTCGCGCTGTATGTACATTTATATTATTATCTATATGTTTATATAATACTAAGGTATATCTTGATCTGCATAAGATACAACATGCTATTGGAAGAGTCCCGTATCCAGCATTGGACTGCTATGGTGTGGTATAGTGGTATAAAATCACTATCTACGAAATTTCAATAGGCATTTGTATACAGTTTGCATTGTTTTACGATATTGCGCTTCTATATATGTAAATAAAGTTTAATAAGATGAAACCAATAATGAAAAAATTCAAACTAAGAGAATTTTGCCTTGATTAAAACCATGTAGGGTTGAATTAAAAACAACACTAACGTATGTTGGTATAATAATTACAAAAAACAGACTTTAATTATGACAAAACCAGTTATTTTGATCTAAAAATTGAACTGCTGATCCAATTTTGTTTAAATTTCTATGGAACAAAACTGTAAGTATATCATTTCAGATAAAAAAAATAAAGATTTTTCCCAAATGAGTTTACAACTGATGGAGTTATGAGGTGACAAACAAGGAAAATACAGCTGAATTGAAAATCTCCTTCTTTTTTAAGTCGGTTGAAAAGACAACTATGATAATGATGTAAGTTTCTGCTTTGAAGTTTTAAACATATTGAAGTATGAATTAAAAGTTCCGCCAAGTTCCAGAACTTGAACTTTCAACACTATAATAAACACTAAGTATAGGATTTCCCAAAATTTCTACGAGAACATTTATTAACCAGTTCTACTCGGTCGTAGCAATGGTAAAAAGTTTGTATAAATGTAATTTTCTTTCATTTTAATACAAAGCATGTAATGAGAGTATTACGAATTGGACCGCGTAGTGCGAATTGGATCGATTCAAAATTTAATATAAAAACTAATAAAGTTATAAGAAATTATATTAATACAGTATTACTAGTTATATTTTAGTATGGTTATATTATTATTTATAGTATAATTCAAAACATGTTTGTTTCAATTACATTTTCGACATTGTGGCCATTTACTTACGCTTATGTGAAAATTTTAAAATTAGGTACATGTTGCAAACTTGCAACATAACGTAAAATTCACAAGCCCTTTGAATCACAGCTAAAATATCTGAGACTTCTAAAAAATATATATAAAATTATAATAATTGCATAAAAAACTAATGTAATCGTATTCACACGTGCGTTTGACCGAATAAATCAACGGGTCGACTATAAAAATTAAACTGTCAAAAAGATATAAATAAATTGATCCAGATACATGGTCAACGCGTCCGTCCATGTACTTCCTATATAGCGGCTGTCTAACGGTGCCTTTCACCGGTATCTAGTGGCCATCTGATGGACTGCTTTTTTAAACTGCCTTAATAAAGCGAATAGAATATAAGATTTTAATGTCGAGCAGTGGAGATTTCGTTATGCGATAATACGGCGTGACTACGCGCACGACTTTCTATGTCCACTGCAGTGCAGTACCACTCAATCTTTACATCCGTGGGTCGCAATCAGTGATGCAAGCTGCAATCACAGATACCATGTTATGTGGATCATGATTCGACTTAATAACATAATCCTATCTTTGGCTCTGTACTAAATTTGCATGTTGCAGTCGGTGTTTACTTACGAGCTCTGTAACTTCTTTTGTTGAAAATTGCATATTTCTTGAAACTCTTTGTGTTACCTAAACCTAGAATATATCTATAGACCTTTTTATTGTTTTAAGTCTAAAGATAATGTTCTGTTGTTATGTTTAATTATTGTAAACATATCTAAGTTTAGTATCTATGACTTTTAAATAACTATTACAATATTTACTATTTTAAAAATTACCTATTTTTAATGTATATTTAAATAAATACATTAAATAATCTCATTTTTAAATATATTACGTTTATAGTCACTCTGAGTGACTTTATAATATATTAACTGATAATCAAATATGCATTTTAAATTTAGTGGTTTACGACCAGTTAGTTGAACATACCTGGATTAGAGAAGTCATGGCATCTTTTTCACTAATTTGGTATGCAGCCCTTCCGTAACAAAATGTTAATGGGCAACGTATTCTTGTTATTTTTCCATAAAATAAATCTAAATATGTAAAATCGTAATATGGCACTGAATATAAACTGTCCAAATCTTCGAAATCATAAATTGAAATTTGTGATAAACGTAAATAAATGTAGGAGCTGACATTTAAGCTAAATAAATGAAATAGTACTTTTATAATTATTTACAATAATTTGAAAATTCTGCATAGTATTGTTCATATATCTACTATGTCTATATTCGTTAGTATTGTTGATATTATATTCATTATGACACTTTTCGTGTATTTATATCTCGGAATATGAATAGTTCCAAATGTTATTTACGAATATGATTAATTCGACATCAACAATATTATAGAGAATGTTTAACCGGACAAAAATGATTACGCCCACCAATGTGTGTCGTTAATTTAATATCATTTGTTTATGTCATCGGCTCCCACTAGCGAACTGGCGTCTCATTAAATATTTTAATTAACTTTTGACGGTCATGTAAATGTCAAAATTAAATAAATCTCCTGTCATATATAAGGGAAATATTATATCCACTTTTTTGAATTTGTAATAATATTAAGTAACAAGAATTGTAAATAGATACTGTTAATACCTGTTTACAATTTCTGTGTAGCAACTTAAATTATGCAATTAGTAATTATATTA